AAAATTAAAATTTTAATTTAAAATTAAAAAATTTAATCAATTTTTAAATTTAAATATAAATATTTAATAAGATAAATTTTTAAATTTTGAATTAAATTTTAATTAAATAATATAAAATAATTTATAATTATAATTATAATTTTTTTAGGTATCTAGACTGACATGTATTTTTTCTTACAATTATATCAATTTTTTACCCTAAAAAATATTGTTTTGAAGCAAAAGAATATATTTATAGGATTTTTTTTTTGAGAAAGGTTATTATTATTATTACTAGGAATGAAAAGAGAGAAATCTCAGCGCCTGAGTTTGCATCCAGGGATCACCTACATGCCACCAAGACCCATATACAAGACATATCCTTTAAAACTAAACAAGGATTTTATTTTATTTTCTTTTTTTTTGGGAACTTTGAGAAATTTGGGCGATGGAAAAATTTTTACAAGGCAGACTTATTGTGACTCAAATCGCTGCCAAGGTCATGAATTGTGGGTGGTGCAATTGCCAACTCAACTGAGGCTGTAGTGCAAAGTAAAGAAGATTATCTCGAAGCCAAATCTCTAGTTTCCATTTTAATTAATTTTTAATTATCTTGTTAGGAATGTTAGGTTGAATATTCCTCAAACAAACCGAATAGAACAAAAGTCACAAACTAACTAGAACATGTATATCGATGCCAGTCCACGTCATTTATTCAAAATTTAAAGGATCAATAGCTTTGAATTAACATAATCAAGGCACTCAAGTGTATTAGGTGTTATCTCGCTTGGGTCTTCCCCTTTACAGTGTATATTTTATTTCTCACGTTTTACTCAAAAATATATATACTCATAAATAATGCTAATTTAATTGGATTTGGATATCCACGTGATAAAATTATAATTAATTAACTCTAATTAATTGTTAGGTAATAGTTGATAGGACAATTAACAATAATTATTCTCTTCATTTTTGATACTAACCTCCTGATATCTTGTAAATTGAGTCATGATTAATTCATAATTGAGTTATGTTAGACCTTATTAAAAGGAAACTCTTTCAAAACCTATTTTTTCATTCACAACACTTGAATTTAAAATTTTACTTAAGTAGAACCGAATTCTTTCCATTCAAATTAATAGGTCGCTGGTATTATTCTCTTTATCCAACGGCTTCCAACGGCAATAATATAATGTTCTTTTTTTTTTCTTATAAGATAAAACATTTACATAAAAATTTAACATATAAAACTATTAAACAAAAATCATGCATGTGGCATTAATTTATTATGTTAAATTTCCAGTTAAATTTTTTTTAAGGCAAGAAAGAATATAAAATTTTATCTTAAAAATTAAAATTTCAAATTATGGCCACTGGGATTATAGTGGAGTACTATTATTGAATGAATGGAATATATACTTTGAATTTTTTTTATCACTAAAATTTCTTTAATAACATGAATAATTGGATATATATGAAGCACCTCTCCTTATCCTTTTAGCTGTTTTCATTTTTTTAAAAAAATAATCCAGCTGACGGCCACTTTCTTAAGGATGGGCTAAGAACCTGTGTACCTTGACACTAATCACATCAACATTAAAATAAAACTCTCGTCTCTGTTTGGTTATAGTATATGCTTGGGATCGTTGTGTTTATACTGTTTGCAGCTGTGACTCATGCGTTTCAATATCTATGGAGATATATTAACTAAAATTTATACTGTTTTAAAAGCATTGTTCATTGTTATGTTACTAAAATTTATAAAATATTAACTAAAATCAATTTAATTATAATATATTATTGTTTTTAGATGTACACCGCTATGTAGAAAAGCGTTGTAAAAGTATCCCTAAATACACTCTATTCGATGAATTTGCCATAAAACGGTGTGTTAAATATAAAAGCATATTTGGTTTGAGTAAAACAGAAAAAAAAAAAAAACGATAGGAATAACTAATGATTTAATTGTTGGTTAATAGTTGATAAGACAATAAATATTTAATTTTGAATAACATTACAATTTAAAGGGGAGAGAATGAACCGAGGTCAAGGGATTATGGGTGTACCTATTAAGACGGAAAATCATTAGATCGGGAAGGTCAGGTATAATAAGAAAATAAATATTTATTAGATAATAAATGAAAAT